GTGCATCTGAGGAAATTTGGAAACAATATAATATTTATATAGTAGCCTCGACGTGCCACCTTTTCTTGGTATTAGTAATGAATTAAAATTCCTTAGATCAGTGATCATACCTTCTTATTCTTTTCATGAAATAACATTTAAGGCATTTTTCGATTAAAATGAGAAATTATCGCTTGTAAACAAACCGGTCAGTAAGTGAAACGCGATGGGTCGGTCCCGTAGACTTTATCACACTACATCGTTTTCCGTGCGGACTACTGATCACTTGGCCCTGTAGGACTAACCACCCTGTGTGATGGGGATATTTAGCATCACGCAGCTAGTTCTTGACACACTATGTGCGCCCCTACATATAGTCCAGGGCAGCTGCACAAATTCACATATATCAAATGTGTTAAAAAAACACTAAACTTCTGCACGATTTACGGCAAGAACCTCATAATAATAGTTATAAATAGCGTGCTCGCTACACTAAAGAAACGGTTTAGAATTTCATTTGTATGGATGACAGATATAGGAGCCAAATTAGCATGCAACGAGGATGAAGATGAACTTGATCTCGCTATCCTAGATGTTGTATAGACTATTACTTCAAACATTCAGGTCTGATAGGAAACAAATTACAGACTCAAAGGCTTGAAAGCAATAGTATAAAAGGTATGATTTGTTTACATCTGACACCTGTATATATGGGCAGCATGAAGCGTCCGCCAGACTGTGCGACACAGTGGTTGCCAGGATCAGGTTGGGATACATCACCTGTGGCAGGTGGCTACAGATGACGGATCTCCCAATCCTGAGCATTATACTTCTGTGAGTTGGAACTGTGTCATGAAGTTATGCGTTTTATGATTGAATGTCCAGTCATTAGACTATTGAGACCTGCCAGGATGAAGTACCTGGAGCTGTGCAGTTACTTTATCCACCCTCGTGTTCGTGAGGATATCCCCAGGATGCATCCAAAGTTGGCGAGTGTAGGATACTGATCACATGGCCCTGTATAACTAACCGTCCTGCTACATGGGTATGTTTTAGTATCACACAGGTGGCTCTCGACACTGTAACCCTTCAAAGAGTGCAGGGTAGCCTTATATCACACAGCTGGCTCTTGACACACACTATGTAATCCTACATATAGGATAGACTTCATATAATCTATAGCAGCTTTGGGAACGCTCAGGTACCTAAGTATGCAGTTACAAACATAAAAATAGTATTTCTAGATTTGTTACATGATTCTTGTTAGAGTTTGTGTTGCATCTCTGTCACCAGCGTCCTAGTTTCTAATTAAGTGATGTTCTAGACGTAATTACTCTTATGATTTATGAAGAAATGGTGATTTTTTTTTTGTTTAGATTTCTTTTGAAAAATGTAATTTTCGCCTATCTCTTGCCGATGATGTAGACTACAGAGGGATGGATACACAGCGGTGAGTGAGTGAGTGAGTGAGTTATTCACTCACACTTGACTCATGTGTGCGGCTCCTGCGTCTCCCCCTCACACACACGGAAATATGAAATAAAATCAACTGAAACGAATAAAGAATGAATTTTTTATGTCGCCATCAATGGAATTGTTTTTTGAGGGAAGATGGGACGGGGAACTGTGGGGGGGGGTGGAGGGGGGGGAGGAATATGTGGGTGTGAGAAGAGGTAGAGAGGGGGGGGAGGGGGTACTGTGAGGTGAGAGAGGGGAGGGTGGAAAGGAAAGTTGGGGAAGGAAAAGAGGGGGGGGGGGAGTGGGGGATGGGTGAACAGTAGGGAGTAAGGGAAATATGAGAAGGGTGGTGATTGGGAGGAGAGAAGGGGTGGAGGTAAGAGGAGGAGGGATTGGGCTAGTAGCGGATAGCATATAGGATAGTGAGGAGAAGGATAGAGAGGGAGTGGGGGGGGGGGGGGTATACAAGGGGGAGTTGGGGAGGGGGGGGAGAGGAAGAGAGGTGGAGGAAATAAAGATGTGTGTATACAGTGACGGGCAGGCTGTCAGCTCCGGATTTTATAGCAGTTTCCCCTAATATTTCAGAATTGCGGTTGGCGGCCATTAGCATATGTCTACCTGTGTCGTGTTCCCCCCCCCTCCCCCCTTCACCACCCCATTATTCCTCTTATGTGTGTGTCCCTCACCCTACCCATACATGGAAACCCCATTCCACACCCCAACCCCCTCTCTCTTCCCTTACATTCTCCTCTACGTCCTGTAATAGATTTTAGTTACAATATATCAGATAGACAATGTCTATTCTCTATTGTCAAATCTCAATGGGTAAAGCATACTCAGAAGGAATATTAAGCAAAAACACTATAGTGATATACGTTATAAAGCGAATAGTATATTGGGATTTATTTATAGAAACGTTAGCATTAATACATCTAATATTGTTTTATCAATTATTTCCCCTTGCTTGGCCCATTTAGATGACGCCGTTCAGTTCTGGGCTCCGCGCCAGAGAATGAACATACGTTCAGTTAAACGTATACAGGAGTCATGTCAAAGTTATTCC